AGTGGATCAAAAAATAACATTTATGAATGTTTTGGGTGTATTAGAACGTAATTATGTACGAATTCAACTTGAAATTGTGGATCACCTCACTAAAGCATTCAACACCTTAAACGAATATCATACCCAACGTCAAAGATGGGCAGCATTCTTAATGGGGGCTGTGGATTCCATATAGCTTATTTAAATTGGTTCTGTGCAGATTTCTTTGCTTGCTTATTATGTACAATTGTTCACGAAAAAATAAAAGAAATCGAATACCAATAAATTCTTGTATTTTGTGTTTCCGTACTATCCAATCTTCTTAAGCTTTCAAAATTACTCATTTTGGTCTCTCTTCATAAGATAATGAACTTAAAACATTTTGTTGTTTTGTTTCTTGTTCAGAAATGTGATTATTTGAAGAACGAAAAAAGACACGATATTTGCAAAGAGTTTTTTTTATAAGACATTTTTTCATTTGGAACAGATGGTGAAATCGTTGGCGGTGGAGATGCTATAGCGAAAGTATTCTACGAACGACAGTAATATATTACAGTATCATATACAGGAGTATGAAGAGACAACAACATCAACACCTATTATCACGGTCTAACCATTATTTTGCGATTTCTTTGCAATAATTATTGAAAAAAGTGAACGCGATTATGGTTCTTCATTTACGCTGTACTATACCATGAAACTTTGAAATTCTCTTCATAATCCGATGCTCAAACCATTTGAAATGACTAACATGTCATGTCACATGTTGCATGTTTTGTTTTGCTTAAAATTCATGTTCCCCTCTTTTGCAAAACCGGTTTGAGTTTTGGTGTGTGTTTGAGTAAGCCAGTTATCCAGCGCATTCCCCACGAACAGACTGCTGAAACCAAGACACAGAGTGTCTCAATACGCACTTGAAAGACCTGTTTTGTAAAAATTCACTGTATGCGAGAGTGTTGTTGGATAGCAAAGCAGCGAACAGTGGCGTTCACCAAACCAGCAACAGCACTAGAATCATTTTTCCGCTAAATGCCATCGTGTAGTTTAATTCAGTACGAATCTTACCGTCCGGTTGATTGGTTGTTGTTTATTCAAAGAGCTAACGCTGTTACACATGTTTCGTGTAAACGTATCTTCCGCTTTCGTTCTTTCGTTATTTTAACGTTTCAATTTTTTGATTTTGACTTTTCTACATTGTTTCGGTTTATTATAAAAAATTTTTTTTTTGCTAAATCGTGCTGTCACCATTTGGAATAATTATTCTTTGATCGAATTAAAATTGGAATATCTGTGAATTGACTATTGAATTAAATTCTTGAAAAAACTTCAACAAGAAAAAAAATTACAAACGTGTGTTAGTGAGACCAACGGTCAATGTGGTTTGGGTGTTTCAACTGTAAAATATCGATCATCGGTTGAATCCGATTGACAAAAAAGGTATATATACATATATATAGTTTTGGAATTCTATAGTGGTTTCACAAAGTGATTTGACGATCAAAAAAATGTTGTAATTGAAATAGTGGTAACTCATTGAGCGGTGAACAAGATCCCGAAAAAAACAATTGAAAGTATTTGTTTGAATTCAAGCCTTGAAGCCTGTTTGGAAATCAATTTGTGGTATTTGTTGATCGAATGTGTGTGTGTTTGTCTGTCTCTCATTTTCTGTGTGTATTTTCGCATGAAATGCATATCCCATTGTTTAAATAGACTTCGTTTGTGCATTATTACTGTTTGTTTTCATTCTCAAAGCAGCGCCGGCAAATATTTTGAATATTTGATGACAGTTGACACGCACAGCATCCGGATCTCTATTTCTCATTTTGTGTGATTTTTTTTGCTAGTTTAAAATGCAGTGCATTTTTTGCATTGAAATGTGTTTTTTTAAAAGCATTTGCTCATCGATGTTTTGTGTGTGTATTATTTGGTTTAACTGAAACATATGTGTTTGCTTCTCTTTCGTTTTCAATATGTTTGATCTTTTGTTACTCCAGTTTTAATCGTATCGACTTTCACCGTCGCAATATGACAATATTTCGATCATTTTTATCGTCTCCATAAATTGAAGAGTGAATTGTAGCAATGAAAGCGAAATTTATCTAATCCAGTTGAAAAGTTGATGAATGAAAATGAAGGAGGTAAAAAATTAAAGAAAAAGAAGTTCATCTAACTCGTTGACGATGACAGACTCTCGCAGCATCTCAAGCGTAGTGATGAAATAACGGGCTTTTGTAAGCAACGTGAAATAAACATCTATTAACCATTTAATCATGGTGCTTTTCTGGTCAACGAAACTGTATCTTGTGTTTACGTTTGTTGAGTGAATAAAATGTTGTTTACTTTTTAGCTTGAAACAGTTTTTTTTTGCTTACTGAAATGTAGCAAATTTCACTATTTTATTCGAAGAAAAAAAATCCTGTGGAATAAGTGTATATTATGTCAAAATGTCATTGAAATATATCTCTTCTTTCATACGATAAATTCACTTCTTAAGAGAGCAAACAAAAACGTAGTCTATTATAAAGCAATGATCGCTTTCAGTTCCACTGAACAGTGAATATGTCATTTTGTTGTTCATGTTCCCATACTTTCTGAATAGATATTTTGTGATTGGCTTCCGATAAATTACCGTTGCATATCATAAAAAAATGAGAATTTTTTTCATTCGAGAAAGCAGCATCGGTGAAGACAATGTTTCCATTCAAATGATCAAATGAAAGCAAACGTGTGCTAACACATCGGCTTTAGCGAGCGATCATATTGCAACATTTTCTTAGCGTCTCTAGCTGGCTAATTTTCACTTTGAAACACTGGCCCAATTCACGACTGCATTTAATGATGAAAATAAGAAATAACGGCGTTTGAATCAATTTCATCGTCCAACTTGCACGTTTCAATTCGCTTTCAATGCATGCGGTTATTGTTATTTCGTTTTTATTCACAATCGCTCAAGAATCCAACCCATCGTGATCTTCTTTCCAATTTAGTACACGCTGCAACATTCAACGTGACCTTTCCAAGACGTTTCTCACATGCATAAGTTTGTGTGTGTTTGTTTCTTGTTTCGTTTTCTGTGTTATTTCTTTCTCATTCATTTTCTTTTCCTCTATTACTATTGTGTACTTAATCAGCCTATTGTTTGTGTGTTTCATTTTTTGTTGAGTCGCACACACACTGTTCTAGACCATTCAAATATTCAATGATGTTGACGGTATGTGATGAATGTATTTTATTTCTTTTCAAATATGTATAAGGCCAATTTTCGCCAAAGCAAAACTAAGCAACTTCAATACAAGTTTGTGTTATGCAAAAGCCAATTTTTGCTGTATGTAATCGGTTTTGTGATCTTTTGTGTGCCGAGAGAGTTCCAATCATGTCGATGTTTTTTTTTTTATTGTGACGAAAAACAGCAATTTCAATGCGATTTGAATCGAAAAAGGGTAAACGAGTTTAATAGTAAATAAAGTCAAATCTAAATGCAATATTGTGAATCAAATGCAATATCACAATAAACGTTTCAGGCGAATCGAAATTGCATCGAAAATAAAAGTGTAAAACGGAGAAATTTCATTGAAACTATTCAATTGATTTTGGCGTTCAACCAACAAACAAACAATAGATTCCGGTGTACTTGGTCGACAATCACCAAAAATCCAAATCATTTCATATCTTGTCGTTGAAACTAGCTCATAAATCGGAAGCGATTGCCTGAACCAGTTCACTTGTCTGTCTATCTGTCTGTTTAAAATCGAAACACGTTCATCGCGCTCTCTCGCCAAACAAAAAGCCACCAACAATATTTTGTGTAACATGGCAAACGGAAAAGAATCCATTGAGTTTACAAATAATTCGATTGAATGTTCAATTGGGTTGATAGTTGTTGTCGACACACAAAATTGAATCGTATGCCATTTAAATGGTGCGACAGTTTCGAGCAACTTTTGGAGAAAATACAGTTCTTTTTTTTGTCTCTCACAACAAGAGAAATTCAATTCACTAAATGAAAGAAAACGATGAATCTGAGCACACGCTTTCAACGACAACGATAAAAGAAGAAGAAGAAAAAAAAATCGTGAGAACAAAAAAAAAATACCGAACTGAATTTCAATGTGAATTTACAAATGATGTAATTCATGGCATAATTTACTAGCTCGTAATACCCAAGAAGAAGACAACCCATCTAAGTGGAAGCACAAACAATTTGCAATGCGAAACAATGCGCTGGCACATAGTAAAATGTAGAAGTTGTAGCAATGCTTATACCGAATAAACGGAAAATCGATGGAAAATCGTTGACAAACTTATTGAAAGTGAGAGAAAAAAGTGTCAATTTTTAAATTATATCGATCGGTTTGGCAGGGCTGAATTGAATCACAACACCAACAATGGAAAGACGATCTGTGCAACGAATATATTAAATAACAGTTATTTACAAATGGCGTTAAATTGAAAATCGAAAGAAAGCTATAATTCAATTGATTGCCCGTTTTTTACTGCTCATTTAAAACGCGACAACGCAATGTTTTCTTTCATTGCACGCCCCATTTTCAATTTCACTTGTTTGATAATACCAATTACGGTTGGGTGCGAGTATAGGTTGCAAAAAAAATCGACAAAATAAAAAGCACACTTTGGATATTCTATGTCGCATGGTGTTTATTCGATTCTATTGAATAGCCATAACAGAAACATCGCATCTCGAATTGATAGCATTTATATTTTCAATCGGAATATTTTGTCTGTATAGTTGACGATGTCGTTTTGATTACTTTTACTGTGCACAGACATGTCTGTGGCAGTACCAGCATCGAAAACAATCGATTTCCAATTGTTGGCCCTTTCTGCCTTAGCAACTCTCAACCATTTTCGGAAAAAAATCCATAAATTGCCGCATTAGTATAAAATCGTCAACGATTTTTCAAAAAAAAATAATCATAAGGTAATCATTGATAAAAAAATCCGTTTGATGATACTTGAACGGCACAGAAAAAAAGACTTAAGATGTAGACTTAAGGTAATCGCTTGAATTTGAGAGAGTATCTCTCGATTTTCGGTATGTGTGGTGATGTGAATATTTACAACGAAAAAAAAAATATTCAAATTAAAATGAATAAGCAATTTTGAGATAATAAGACATGCGAAATGAAGAGAAACAACAAACTGACAGAAAAAAAGATACACGGCAGCACAGCGACAAGAATAACCCACTTTCGAAATGGAAGTATGGATTCTTTGGATTTTTCACCTTGTTTTTTTTTCTCTTTCATTTTTTTACCTCTTCTTCTCACAATTCACAGCAAAACATTCGAGGAACCAATTTTGTGTTCAGTTCTTGATTGCACGATTCACATCTTTCGACTGCAGAAGTGCCGTGTTTTCAAATTAAAGAGTTTCCAAGTGCTTTTTCCATCGTTGACACTAAACTTTATTACCAATCAATAGATCGCCATTAATAAAAAAACCTCTTGATTGAAGATAATGTCTCAGCTTCAATTCCTATCATCGTATAATTAAATATTCAACGAATCTAATGACTCCAAATGAATATTTTCCGTTAGCATCTCAACCATAAACGAAGAAAAACCATTTTGTTGGTATTTTTGTGATATTTCTAAAAATCCAAGTGGAACTGATACTGAACCGTAAACCAAAAAAAATTAATTAAAATATTTCTGTCGTTTTGTGTGACGGAGACAAATACAAAAGCGGGTCAAATATATATTTTTTTTACATATCTTGAGTTAAAAGTATTTTCAGGTTAAAATGTAGACTAAACTCTCACATTGAACGAACATTCAACATTTTTGGTTGTTGTTGTTGGTTTTGGCTCGTTTTCATGATCGTATCAAAGTAAATTACATGTGTAAGCGTTTTTAATGGAATTTATAGGAAAATTAATTAATAAGCGAAATGAATGAGTCGCAAATTCGGGTTTCCTCATTTTTGACAATGTCTTTTAAAAGACTGTCGAAACTTCTTTATCTCTTTTACAACTAAATTTTGTCTTTGTGCAACAAAATTGAAGCGAAGCGAAATATTTCTACTTTAACGCCTGTTCGAACTTCATACCGCATAATTTGATTGATGGATCGATAAACAAAACTTTGTGAAATATATCAACTTCATCGCAGTAATATCGCTGCTTCATAACTCATTGTTCGGTTTCATTTCAACCCCGTCAATACATAAATCGCACACGATCCGATTTCCTCAAAGACAAAGTTTTCGTTTACTACTTTCCAAGTTCAGAAATATCAATTGAAGCGTCACAAGCGTAATCTATTCTTTCGCGCGCCGATTGAATTGAACATAAAAAAAAGTTTGTGTTGGTTTTTTTTATCTCGATCGATTGGCGGCTGAAAAAAAACTTTGTTCAACTTTTTACGACACACATTTCCGACTGCAGTCAATGTCATATTCCATTGAATGCCCTGCGA